GGATGTTTGTCAGTACTGATCTGTGCATTAGGTCTTAAAGTGACAGCACAATTTTACTTGCTGCTGTCTGTCATCATCAATCTTAAGAGAAACAGAGAAAACTGCTCTTGGCTGAAGAAGTTGTTGCTTAAGTAAGAATCATCTATTTAATTCATACAGTGAACATTATTCAGTGTTTTATTTTTTGATTATTCAATTTCTAGAATGCTAGTGTTAAATAGACTTACTATACTGGAAAAAATTAAAGCAGTGATTATTTCTTTTGTATCTTATATTGTATTTGTCCTATTGTTTGTAATTTCCACCTTTTATCATATTATTTAATATATTGTTATATATATTGTTTTTGTAAAATATAATTAGCCTACTCCTATCTAAATTTGTCATATCACACATCCTCTATTTGGGAATAATACATATAGCTTATGACAGATATATTTATTCATTAACTGTTAATAATCGTTTGAAATAGACTGCTTGTTTATTTTATATGTCTGCGATCTCCACGATCTGTCTGGTGAACACGTGACAGAGTCAAAGCGTTTCATTGGTTTGGACTACAAAGCCCAGAGTTCGTAGCGCCTCAGAAGGCGGAAGTGTCGTCGATCCGTCTGTAGTGGGTTGTGGAAGTGCGGCTGCTGAAAATGCGGTAAAACATCAACAAACACATCAGATTCACACATGTAATTGAGTTTTGTTTTATTTTGTTGCTTTGCGAACAGTCAGTAAGGTTCATCTCTGATGTTTCCTGCTCGTGAACCTGTCCCGTTTGTTGTGTTGAGGTTTTGGCTCGTGCTGTCATGTTTTGGTTGTTTACACAATTACACATAATTTATAGTTCAGAAAACAAACAGTGTTAAAATAAATAAGTCTTTAATGCAGTTCATTAACGAAGATTGACTAACAGCTTTGAAGCGGTTACTTGTACCATAAAAACAACATAAACTGGTTCATTAACTGATAACTTAGCATGCAGTGTCTTTGCCAGTGATTATCTAGTTTATTTCTAATATTTATATATCTGTATATCTCTTTGTGTAGTGTTTTTGAAGGGATAACGTGTAGTTTGTCATATATGATCCAATCCCAGCTTTCAATGTATAAAAAGGACGCCATCAAATCTTTATAGTACTTAAAATGTTTCTTACAGTTATTTTCATATAATTTGAGCAGTGATTCTCATATGAATATGTTTATGATTGTTATGATCTAGTTGAGTCACTGTGTGTGTGTGTGTGTGTGTGTGTGTG